ATGTCCGAGGGTCGAGCGTCGAGGTTCGAGGTTCGAGGGTCGAGGCAGCGATCCGGGAGGCCTGCCGCCATTTTCGGCTTCTTGGGCCCTCGCTGGGCCCCAGGGCCGTCAAGAAAACATTCGCTATGAAAAACCGACCCTGGGGAAAGGGTCGTGATTTCCGGGGAGCCCGTGCTGAAAAAAATCAGGATGCCGTCTGTCTGGGTTCGAGGTCCCTCGGAGGCCTAGAGGTTCAGGGGCAACGACAGCGTGAGGCTTCGAGGTTAGAGTTAAGTTGGGCATGTCCTCTACAAGAGGAATATCCAAAAATAGTCAAAAAATAGCGAGGGTACGATTTTTCGACTTTCAATGTTCTAGCATTTTTTGATCATTTTCCATGTTTCGTCCAAAATCCGCCTGTAGGGGGACACGCCCGACCTAAGGCTTAGAGTCGAGGCTAGAGGTTCGAGGCTTTAGTTTGTTACCGTAGGTTCTCGGCTGCTTTCCAGCCGCGGGCTGCTTTCCAGGGGTGTCAGACCCTTCCCGAACGGCCGCCGGAGAGGCGAGCTATGGCCCGAAATCCACCAGGGGGCAGGCTCAGGGGGGATGCATCGATAACCAATTGCCCCTTTATCGCCACTGGAGAACGTTCCTATATTTCTGGGCGATGACGGGCGTGACAGGCGACGGCGTCGCCGTCTGGGAACGTCCAGGAATAACCCAAAACACTCCAGAGGTCAGCCGAATCGTGACGTTGTCCAGGGAGGGAGGGGGGGCGGGCCGGGGCAGGTAGCGGCCGCTATGGCGAAACATAAAACGCTTTCGTAGGGGCCTGATGGCCCATCCCGCCCAGCAGCGTGCAGAGTTGCTATCGGGGGCGACGCGCCGATCTATCGGCAGTGTACGGCCGATTCCAGCTCGGTGGCCTCCCCCCCCGTGAGCCGCTCCCCTCGATCGTTCCCTCTCAGTCAGGAGGGGCTCAAGAGGCAATGGGCCCTGGAGGCGACAGGGCTTTTTTGTCGGATCAAGGTTTCACTTTTGTATTGTTGGGTTCCGTCGCTGCTTTGTTTTCTTGTTGGTTCTGTCGCAGCCTTTGTTTTTCCCATTCTGGTTTGGGTTCCGATTTTGGCGCAGTGTTTGTTCGGCCTCGGTGAGCAAGTCATATCATTTCACCGTTGCCATTTTCATTCGCAAGATGTTTCGCCCACTACGGGCTCAATGCACCAAGTCGCTTGGTCTGCCAAGTCTGCATCGCCGTTTCATCACCGATGCGACGCAATTTGGAGCCCTCCATTCTCCGTTTTCCTGCACCCCATCGGCGACGTGGTGCGATCATCCGGCCCCGCCAGTAGCTCGGCGTTTTTTGTATTTCGCAAACTGGTGCTCGCAAGCTCGATTGCGACGTGGCTCGACTTCCCTCTGGCCTGGACGTTTGAGGAAGAGGAGGGCTTGGAGAAAGGGGGGAGCGGCCACGGCGTTGGCGACGACGACGACGACTCAAACAGAAAAGACCCTCACACGCCGACAGGGACGGCGATTGGAATTCCATCGGCTTCCAGACTCAGGATTCCTGATCCAATGGTTCCTTTTCCAACGCCCTCACCGTACGGAAGACGTTGCCGAGCCTCGGTGGCGAAAACTCCGTATGGCCTGTTTGTGGCTCGAGCTCATGTCTCTAGGCCTCCCATATTGGGTCCGAGTAGATGGGGTTGGAGGATCGGGCCGCATCGCCGATGCATCGGCGATGTGGCTCGACGTGGGGCCCGATTCTCTCCACGCCGACGCATCGCCGATGAATTGACGATGCGGCGCGATCCTCCGACCCCCTCCACTCCGACCCCATCTGGGAGGCCTCTGCTCTCGTGCCGAAGGATGCGCACCGGCCCCCCCGGAGCGACCGCCGGCACAGCGGCCACGGCCTTCCGCGTGCAGGTCGGGCCAGGCGCCGCCGTCGGCGTCCACCGGCTCCTGCGGCAGGGCCTCGGCCTCCTGCTGGTGGTCCGCGCGGGGCCTTCGAGCGCCTCGGGCTCCCCGCGCTCGCCGGAGGCCAGAAGGGCACACAGCAGGGCGCTGCCAGAAGGGCCTCGCCTTCGAGGGATCTGGACGTGGCCTTCTATTCCTGCCTCTCTCTCTCTCTCCCGCTCTCTCACTCTTTTTTTTGTTATCTCGTTTTTTGTTGTCTCTCTCTCTCTCTCTCTCTCTCTCTCTCCTCGATCGAAGGTGAAGATGATTAATAATCATAATGCTAATACGCATAGCAATAATCAATCCCATCAGGGCGAACAATCATAATAGCCATACTACTAGTAGTAATAATCATAATACATACGACTGCGAAAAAGACGAATCATAATGTCAATACTAATCGTATTACAATGAAGAAAAGTATGAATCATATTTGAAGCAGACTAATGCTATCAATAATAGTAATGATAAGAATATTGATGATAATGATGATACTAATACTGGTACTATCTATCTATCTGCATTAACCTACACTTTCGACGGTCCGCGCGGATTTCCTGGAACTGCGCTCGGCCCACCGCGGCGCACGGAGCGCGCCGAGGGTGGCCCTGCCAGCGGAAGCAGCCAGAAGAGGCCAAAGCTTCGGCCCTCCGAGAGGTGCCAGCTGTCTTGGACCCAGGGCCTCCCAGACCGAGCCGCACGAGCCCCGTTCAAAACAGAGAAAACAACAAATAACACGGGGGCCGACCTCGGTGCGCCAGCTGCCCGCAGCAGGTTCTCTCGCAGGGCCCTCTCTCGCACGCGGCGCGCTGCGCCCGCGGCTCTTTCGAGTGCCGCCGCGTGAGGTCGCCGTGTGTTCTCTCGCGTACAGTCAACCCGCATGGTAAGGCTGGGCGGCCTTCCCAAGGTTGGCAACTTCGCTGGCTGCGCCCCGCTCGAAAAGCTTCGGAATGGGCGTCCAAGGCCCTCGCGTCCTTGTCGCGCATCCTTCTGATACGGGCCGGCTGTGACCCAGAATCCCGACGTCATGACTTTTCGCTTATATCGTCGGCCCCCAAAGGTCTCGACCGGCCAGAGATAGCGAAAAGCCTTCCGTCGTGATTGTCTCAAGACTCGAGGGGGTTTGGTAGCTTAGACCTCCTCTTCCTGCGCCGCCCGCGCGAACACGGGCACTGGACGTCCGCGGGCAGCATGTTTCCCCCCGGCACCAGGGCCCCCTCCCCGCACCCCTGGGCTCAGGGGCAACGTGAGGGGGGGGATAGGCCCACATCGGCCCCCAGTCGCCCATTCATCGCCGATAGGGGCCCGACAGGCCACCCATCTCAGGAACTTGCGGGTTCGCTATCGGCGGCGTATCGCCGATCCATCGGCGATGTACTGCCGATTCCGGGTCGATGTTTCCATTCCTGAGCCTCTGGCGCGGCGCCGGAAAAGCTTGCCGTCCTCGGAGACGTCCGCTGCTCAAGTTCACACGTCATTATGTGTGTCCTTCCGCCCTCTCGTTTCTGGCGCTTCGAGCGCAGCGCGCTCAAAAGCACGATGGAGCGAAGAGCGCCCGGCCAGAGCCCTGTCGTCGAACGTCACCTGCTCGGACGTCTCGGCCAACTGCGACGAGTGGACTGGTGACTGCGACACGATGTTCTGCCAGGGGTGCGAGATGGAAGGCGTCTGCGACACAACTTGCGGCATCAGCACCACCAGTGTCTGTCCAACGACCTCCGAGTCGAATTGCTATCAGGCGCTCGACACCCAGACGTCCAGCACATGTGCCACGCTAGACTGCGATACTGAATGGGTCAACTCACCAGGTAGCTGCGACACCTACTGCGACTTTTGCACCCCGTCCCAGGAGCCAGCCTGCTATGCCTGTGAGGTCCTCCTTCCCACAGACTGCAGCTACCCCGCTTCCGAGATAGGTGTCTACTGCTGGACGCAGTGCTCAATCGACTACTGCGTGAAAACGTCGACGAGCAGCTCGAGCACAACGGTCACCTCGACTATCACCCCGTGCGTGGACTTTGTGCCAGCGCATTTTGGATACGCTGGGGTGACCGGCTGGGAAGACAGCAATGGCTACGATTGCTCATTTTACTATATCAACGACTGCTTCCCCAACAGTGACCTCGCGACCAGGTTCGAGAACTATGACATGACGGCAAGCGAAGCGTGCTGCTCCTGCGGCGGCGGGATGAAGGGCTATTCCTCTACCACGGAGACCAGCACCACCTCCTCGTACTGCGAAGATTGGAGGCCTGCTTCGGAAGACCACTGGTACATCGAGAGCACCAACAAGGACTGCGGCTACCTCGCGTACTTCTGCCAGGAGGCCATCGCTTCCATGGCCAGCTTCGGGCAGACAGCCACGGAGGCCTGCTGCTATTGCGGTGGAGGAACAGGTTTCACCCACACGAACACCACGACCACACATACCTCCAGCAGCAGAACTTCGGTCACGAGCAGCTCCACTGACATCACCCACACGTCCATGTCTTCGTTTTCAACCACGCTCACGTCATCCTTCTCCGCCACTTCCTCGACCACCATCTCCACATCTTCTCGCACCACCGCCTCCACAGTCACACGTTGCGAGGATTGGGTCCCTCTCATGATAGGGCTCACAGAGAATGCGTGGTACGACTCCGGAGGGGCGACGTACACCTGCGAGTTCTACGAGAGCAACAATCTCTGCGGCACAGGGGACGACCTGGATAATTTTGGCAGGACGGCCGACGAGGCGTGCTGCGCCTGTGGCGGGGGGGTGAATGTAGCGTCTACCACCACGGGGACGACCACGACCGCCACGCGGTGTGCGGACATGGTCCCCGCCGGTGCAGGGGGGTACTGGTACGACTCCAGGGGGACCTCTTACACCTGTAGCTGGTACGCCCACGGCGACTGGTGCACCAGCCAGGCGTCAGCATCGTCTGACACATCCCCATCCCCACTGGGCCATGGTATCTCAGCCGAACCAGCCCAACCTCCTAGGTGGGGGTAGGCCCCGCGAAGCCCGAAGGAACAGGCATACGTCCTAGGTGGGTAAGTCGGCCAGTGGGGCCATGGCCACGCCAGTGGGTATGAGTATCGGTTGCGCGATGCTCAAGGCGCCCTCGTACCCCAACTTTGGTTACACGGCCGAGGAGGTCTGCTGCACCTGTGGCGGCGGCACCGGCGTCACGGCCACCAAGACGACGCGGACCGCGAGTTCCACGGCCTCCACATACACTTCCACGATTACGTCCACCTCCAGCCTCTCGAGCACCAACTCGATGTCCACGTCGTCGAGGACGTCCACGGGGACAACGAGGAGCGACACATCGTCGACCACCGCCACAACTCACAGCGACACCTCCTCGACGCCGACGACGGACTCCTCGACGCTGAGCTTGTCAAGCTCGACCAGTGCGACCACCTCATCTGACACCTCCAGTTGGTCCGAGACGTCCACCAGCACGATCACGTTGAGCTCGTCGACGTCGGCCACCACGTCGACGACAACACGCACAATGTCGACAGTAACCTTGTGTGCCGATTACGTGCCAGAGAACGAGAGCAAATGGCATGACTCGCTCGGGGACCGGTACGACTGCGGATGGTACGAAGGCAATAGTGAACATTGTGGAGAATTTTCTGCGTTCCAGAATCCGAAGTTTAATAGGACTGCGAACGAGGCCTGCTGCGTGTGCGGTGGCGGTGTCCACCGCACGGAGACCGCCACAGCCACGACGACTTCCACGACCATTCGGAGAAGGAAAAAGGCGTAAACTGAAATTTTCGAAGGTCTGCGCGGGTATTTTAGTTCGGCGCTGGTCTCCCTCAGCGGCGCGCGGAACGATCCAGGGGTGCCGCCAGAGTTGCCGCTAGGGGGCCCTGCGCCGATCCAAGAAGTCCGCGCGGAGCTCCAAAATTTTAAGTTCATGCAGTTATTTCTTCTTCGAGCCGTGTGCTTCGATTGGCAGCCGGCCCCTCAGGAGGCCTGGTCCGACGGGGATGGCAACAGCTGCAGGTACTATGAGCGGGAGCTGCTGGTCATCAGTATCGTTTAACCGACCCCTGTCCCCATCCCCATCCGGACCCCCATCATCTCAGCACCCCAGTTGGGGCTATACGCTATACCCCCTCGGAACCCGAAGGGGTCACGACCTGTATGGTCCAGGGTCTGAGCCCCCCCACATGCTGATACCATCGCCGCCCCCCCCCCCCCCCCCGCGCGATGCCCCCCCCTTCCCCCCTCCTGTGAGCGTGGTGTGGTGGTGTCTTCTCCTGTGGGCGTGCGGTTGTTGGTATGCTTTTCGGCCCTCCCCCCCACCTCTCCCTGTGGATAAGTATGGTGTGATGGGTGGTGGCGGAGGTGGTGGTGGTGGTGGTGGTGGTGGTGGTGGTGGTGGTGGTGGTGGTGGTGGTGGTGGTGGTGGTGGTGGTGGTGGTGGTGGTGGTGGTGGTGGTGGGGGTGGGGGTGGGGGTGGTGGTGGTGGTTGTGGTCGGGCCCCCTTAAGTAGAAGGAGGAGAAGGAGGAGGAGGAGAAGGAGGAGGAGGAGGAGGAGGGCGGGCAGGAGGAGGAGAAGGAAGTGGAGGAGGAGGAGGAAGATGAGGAGGAGGAGGAGGAGGAGGAGGACGACGACGACGACATCAGCGTCGGCCTCGGCATTGGCATCGGCACAGGTGTCGCCGTCCAAGACATGACGTAAAACTGTACACTTGATGGTGGGGAAGTGCCAGTCTGTAATTGTGCAGAACAGCCGTAATCAGTTTGGGATGGGCGCTTCAGACGGTGTTGCGGTGCTTCAGGGAGCCGGAGCGGACGGTGTCTTTCTTCGTCGTCGTCGTCGTCGTCGTCGTCGTCGTCGTCGTCGTCGTCGTCGTCGTCGTCCGTCGTCCGTCGTCGTCCTCGTCGTCCTCGTCGTCGTCCTCGTCGGTCGTCAGTCGTCGGTCGTCGATCGTCGGTGTTGTCGTCGTCGTCGTCGTCGTCGTCGTCGTCGTCGTCGTCGACGTCGACGTCGACGTCGTCGTTGTGGTCGTGGTCGTCGTCGTCGTCGTCGTCGTCGTCGTCGTCGTCGTCCTTCCCCTCCTCCCATCTGGGGGGAATGGGGGGGGCGCCGAAGGACCGTGAGACCCATCCCATCTGGGGGGGGGGGGGGGCTGGGAGCCCGGGATCATATATCACCGTGTTGGGGGGTAAAGCGGCCAGTCGGGCCCAGGCCACGCCGTTGGAGATGTGGGTCGGTTAAAAAACGATGCTCAGGTCAGAGGCACCTGCTCCGAGTCTGCGAACGACGGGATGACGGCCATCCAGGCCTGCTGCGTCTGCGGCGGCGGGGTCAGCCGGACCGACGCCGTGACATCCCCAAACCTCCGGCGACTCGACACTTTCGAGGCTCGGGGCCCCGGAACCTTTCGACGGGGGTCAGCCACTCGGCAACCTGAGTGCTGCTGCAGAGCCACTCGGCCAGAGCGTCAATTCATGGTATGAACCATGATGGAAACAATTTTTTCGGCCACAGATTTCAGCAGCAGGCGTCCAGATGCTGGCCACGAGGTGTGAAGGCGCCCCGTGAGAGTTCAGACAGCTTCCGTGCCGCTGGCGATGCGATGCGATGCAAACGGGGGCACAGCCAGAACGCCTGATCTTGCATGATCCTGCAGAGCCAGGGTTGCATTGACCTGGGCTCCCGCGCAGGATCCTGCAGGATCATGCAGGATCCCAGGTGTGCATTGACCCGCGTCAGTAGAAGCCCGACCCCAGACTTGGGCGCCGATTTTTCCCACACCGGGCGTTTCAGCTCGGTTTCGGGCCCTGGCACCGATCCGGCTCGAAACATGCCGCAGAAATATAGGGTCCAGGGTTCTGGTCGAGTTTTTTGTATGAGGAGGCAATTTTCTCGTGACGCCGAATATCAGATTTCCTTGGGACCGTTTTTTTCAGGTTGTGTTTTGGCAGTCCCAGGGTCCGACGCTGGCGCTCGGAGGTCGAGCAACTGCACAAAAGTTTCAGGCCCGATCTGTTCGAGTCTCTGGAGATTTGGGTCCTCCTCCTCGGGGACCACCAGCATCCAGGCCTCCTAAATTGGGCACGAGCAGATGGGGTCGGACGTTCGCGCCGCATCGGCGATGCAGCGGCGATGCGGCTCGATGAGGATCCCGACTGTCTCCACGCCGCCGGCGCCGATGCATCGCCGACGTCGCCGATGCATCGGCGATGCGTCGATGCGGCGCAATCCTCCAGCCCCGTCTACAGTCAAGACGTTGAAATGATGACTGCCCTGGGCTCGGGAAGGACTACGACTTTCGGGCCGTTCCTCAGGTCGAGGTTGGGGAACCCCTTCGTGTCCAAGGCACGCCGTGGCGAGGAACGCCCCTCCGCTACTTCTTCGGCGCCCCTTATGGCAGCACGATGGTTGCACTCGGACCCAGTTTCCATGGCGCCAACATCGCAGAGCGGATTTCGCTCGGAATACGATCGGATGGGCCCGGAGAGTCCTGGACAATTTCGCTCCGGATTGCGAGGTGAATTTCGTGCGGATTTGTTTGGGGCCAGGAGTGAAGACTACAAAACATCCACGCGAAATTCACTTCGTTTTTCACTCGCCGCTTCGGGGCTCTGCATAGTCGGAAATTCACGCAAAAATCCGCTGCAGCACGTCTGCAAGGTCGGTGCAGGGACAATTTGGGAGGCCTCCACAGCACCACCCGGTCGCCCACCACCTGGTCCGCCACCACCCTGTCCGCGACCTCCACGCGGACGCCGCTGCTGGCCGACGGCGCCGCCCCTGGCGCCGAGGAGACCTCCTCGGCGGCGGTGCTGCAACTGGCCCTCGTGCTCGGCCTGGCCGCCGCTGGCCTGCTTGCCGCTTAGGCGGCCGGGCTCCTCCTGAAGTTCGGTCGCGGCAGCCAGTGCGGGCAAGATCTATCCAGTTGCGCTGCCGCGCGATTCCGCCAGCGCGCTCGGGCGGGCGCGGGGAGTGGGAGGCTCTTGGGGGGGGGATAGGGGCCACGGAACCCCCCTTGGTCACAAAAGCAAGCGCATCGTGCCCCAATCATCGCTTCGCACATGGCGGAAGGGCCTGACGCACACCAGCCGCTGCAAAAGCGGGTGCGGCTACGAGCGTTGGCCGGAGTCTCACTCGATTGAAATCAAATTGGCCATGCCGTGGTCGGCGTTTTGGGGAGAGCGCCGATGTCGGCCAGATCTTCGGCCTGGTAGGGGCCCCAAACCCTTGTGTGTTCCCGCTCTCGCCGCTGCGAACAGAGCCGACGTCGAGAATGTATGCCCACGTTTGAATCCATATCCACTGCGTCTCGGTTTTTTGGGGCTCCCCTCCCTGGAATCCGGAGGCACAGTGGATAAGGATTAAAACCTGGCCTTCCGAGAGGCCAGACTTTATCCATATCTACCGCGTCTCGGTTGTTTCGCGCCCCATGGATTTCCTGCGTCCTTCGTTCCTGATGCGCCTGCGCCTTCGCGCGCGTATTCCGTTCTGGCTGGAGGGTAGAGGCGGCGCGCACACATGGGCGTGGCGCGACGGGGCAGGCCTTCTAAGCAGGCGGGGGATCAGAGAAAGCCGTGATTTTCAGACAAGGGCCTGGAAGTTTCTACACAGGCTTCTCAGAAGCCGGGGAGGCTGCTTGGAAGCTCCTTGCATTCTTAGAAGCTCGCCCGTCTTCTTAATAGGCCGCCCGCCTCGCGCTACCCCTCGCGTCAACAGGGCATACATGCCCTGAGATCCAGGGTCCAGGACTCCTGTCATGGTTTGCCCCGCATCCAAAGTGGGATGATTGTTTTCTTTGCACCCCGCCGCGTAGGAACCTCATCCACCGCCCCTCTCCTCCTCTCATCACCGTCCCACCACCAGCATCATCACCTTGATCATCATCACTCACTCACTCTCTCACTCGCTCGCTCGCCCACTCTCTCACTCACTCGCCGCCACACCAGGGTTATTACCATCATCATCACTACCATCATCGTCTCACACGCACCCACGCACAAACTCACACTCTCTCACACACCAACTTACGCACTCATCATCTTTCGACATCCTCTCCTCATCAGCAACATCATCACTCATCATACCCATCACACCATTAACACCACTAGCATCATCCCAGCATGGTCTTCGGCCATCATCATTACACTCACACTCACTCACGCACTCACACACGCACACAGTCAACTTGAGGACCTCTCGATCGGGAGTCTCGTTTGTGAGTGAATCGCGGAGAAGTCTCGAGCGGGAGCCCCCTCCCTATGGGTCCCGCACCTCACGTGTTTGATCCCATCGGGTCATCCTCAAACTTGCAATTGTCGTCGCTTCTGGGGTCGCCAGGCGGGGGAGGAGGGAGGAGGGCGAGGAGGAGAAGAGGAGAAGTACACGGGGCGCTGTCTCGTGAAAACGAGGACCCAACACCACAGGATGGTTGGGAAGAGTACGTCGGACTTCTCGGTGCTTGCCAAGAAGAGGCAGCACGTGCCGCACACGTGCCAATGGTCGGGGGCAGCGGAGGGGGGCAGAGGCTCACGGCGGGGTGCATCGACCCCTAATCGCCCAGTGACCGCCGATAGGGGCCGGATAGTTCCAACCCGCTCAGAGACGCGCGGCTTCGCTATCGAGGGCCCATCGGCGATGCATCGCCGATTCCAAGTCGATATCCCCCCCATTATCGGCGGCGAGCGATTGGGGGTCAAGTGAGAAGGAGAAGGCTGTCTCAGAGGGTTCGGAAGCCCCCCCAGCCTCCTGAGAAGTTTTCTGAGCCTTCCCAGAAGACAGAACAACTTCTCACAAGCCGCGAGGGCTTCTGAGCAGTCCCGCCGCCTTCTGAGAAGGCCTTCTCCTTCTCAATTTCCCCCTCGCTCGCCGCCGACACACAGGCGGGCCGCTGAAGAAGAAACCCTTTTTGTTAGGGAGAGGCTCAGTGTTCCTTAATTGTGTTGAAGTTTGTCTTATGTTCTGCCTAGGTGTTCTATGCGAATTCGAAGTTCAACTTATTGAAAAGGGGCCTCGTTCCTTATTCAGCGTTCCTTAAGTCACCCCCCCGACTGTAAGCCAGACCGCCAGACCCTTGCCGTTCCACCTCAGATGGTGGCTCCCGGGCACCGAGAGATCTCTCGAGGAGCAGCCTGGCGCGGGAGCCGCTTCCCCCGCGGCGCTCTGGCGACATCCCCAATCTGGGCGCGAACGAGCCCGTGGAACACCCCTTGCCGTTCCCGCCCTTGAGAAAGTTATAATATCATGAGTCTGATGAGTGGTCTGATTGTGAATGGGTCTAGGCGTCAGTGGTCTCACCCTTGGTGGGTCCGAGTATGTGTACGAGTGGGTCTGACTGCGGGATTTGCGCATGGGTGGGTCTGCTTATGATTGAGTTTGTGTGTGGCTGAGTCTGAGCAAGAGCGGTCTTAGTGTGAATATTCGAAGTGAGACTGATTGTGAGTGAGTCTGTGTGCAAGGGGATCTGAGAATACGTGATCAGAGTGTGAGTGTGTATGAATGCGAGTGAGTCTGGTTGTGAGTGAGTCTGAGCATGAGCGTGCTTCAGTTAGGTGAGTCTGAGGGTGAGTGAGTTTGAATGTGAGTGTAAGAGTGTGTAAGTGCGTTTGAGCATGAGTCAAAACGCTGAGTTCGAGTGGGCTCGAGTCTGAGCGAATGTGAACATGGACTGGACTGTGTAGTTATGGGGAGTGAGGCAGGAGGAAGCGGGACTCAAGCAGGACTGTGCATCGGGCTTGCCCACGTGCGGGCTTTCAGGACGAGGGTGCTGAGCCACTTGCGGTTCATTGGAGTATAGCGCCACATACATAGTCTTTCCCAGTCCGCCGGGAGGGACCCGCGAGGCCAGGAAGGTCGAGGCGGCAATCTCGTGAAAGAAAATTACCCTGGCGACGTACCCAATCCCTGCGCAATGCGGGGCAGGAGTCGCTTGGGAGGTTTGACGAGAAGGCGGCGACGTGACATGGACGCATATACTTCTGCGAGCGGCATTCGGACGGTTCGCAGGTCCCCAATCAAGGGAAAAACGATGAGTAACCGAGTGAACCCCTGAGTCACTAAGGAAAACGCAAGGTCCAAGAGGAGACTGTGGGCAAGGGGCTTGAAACGTCGGCGGGGCAGCAACAACATGACATGGTCCCCCCAGGGACGGCGAGGTCCCGCTCAGGTCCGCGCACTGCCTCATTCCGCTGGACCCACCAGCAGCCCTCGAACGTGGCGAGCCCGCCAGCAGCCCTCGAAAGTGGCGACAGTTTCGCAGATCGCAGCTCCCCAGGGACGGCGAGGTCTCGCTCAGGTCTGCGCGGTGCCTCACTCCGCTGTTCCCACCAGCAGCTCTCGAAATTGGCGACAAATTCGCAGATCGCAGCCCCCCAGGGACGGCGAGGTCTGGCTCAGGTCTGCGCGGTGCCTCATTCCGCTGGACCCACCAGCAGCCCTCGAAAGTGGCGACAATTTCGCAGATCGCAGCCCTCCAGGGACGGCGAGG